CTCTCTCTCTCTCTCTCGTTCAATCTCAAAGAGAATCGCTTCCATAGTCACCTCCTCCGTTAGCCCCTGCCCAGAAGGTCATCTCCCTCAAAGACAAAGGGCTTCATATTAGTTAGTATCTAACTAAAAGTTCATGTGATCAATAAGAACCAATTCTAGTTTTTCAATTTTTAGTATTTATTCCTCTTTTGCATAAAGATTTAATCCCAATAAATTTCCTTCACCTTTATGTGTTTTCTTCTCTTTGTTGTAGTTAGATTTTAAAGAACATTGCTTCATAGTCGTCTCCTCCAATAGACATGAGCCGTTGCCGCTTCTCGTTGGGTCGTCTCTCTCCGTCTTTTGACGTCAGCCCGTCAATTATCACTATCAGGTTTTTCACTTGCTTATATTGCAGATTTTTGTAATTTATGCTTTGAAAAAAAATTAGATTGTTTGAATGGATTTTGGCTGAGAAACAAATTTCAAGTTGAGATATACCATGTTAAATGTCTTTTTTTATTATATTTTTAATCTTAATGGAAAATGGGGAAAGGTGAGAAATTGAGAGTAATAAACTTGCTTATATTGAGAAGTTAAGCACTTTTTCTCTTTAGCAATCTCAGATTGTTGTTGTTGGTTTTGAGTGAGAAATCCTTTTTTAGTTTGTACTTTTGATATGGAATAGAAATCAGTTGTGTTCCTTGATGCGGTGAAGGACATTTTCCTTGGCTCATTGTTGAATCAACAGTTATGTTTTGAGTGAGAAATCAGTTATGTTTCCTTCATTACAATAGTTCTGTAATCTTATGAGTGATCGTCACTTGGGTTGTCTTCAGCCACATTAATTCTTCTAGTTTAAATTTAAGGTTAAACATATACAAAATTATTCTTCTAATTCTAATTCTAATTTGGTAATCCAATTTGTGTTACAATGAAGAGATTTTACCCTCTAGTATCTTCTAAGTTGCCATAACCAAGTTCATCCTCTCCAATTGCTATTCTCGTGGAACAAAATTTGAACCAATTAGAAGAGCAACCTCAATCCTCTAAAAGACAAAGGCAAGGAATAGATCTTGATTCTTTACCGACTGATCCAAAGGAGAGAATACCCACTAGAGATTATCATCCAAATGAGCGTGATGAGATTAGAAGAGAATATCTCTGAAGAGGTCCTTACCAACCCCGATATCATAAGTTTCCTCAAAGAGATTTTTCGAGCTTAAAGCGCAGTTTCAATCCTAAATGGTTTGATGAATATGATAATTGGTTGGAGTACAATGTGATAGAAAATGGAGCTTATTTTTTGTATTGTTACTTGTTTCAAGATGAAGCATTCATCAAGGTGGAGGTGATGTATTTTCAAGTTTAGGATTTAAGAGTTGACAAAAAAAGAAGAGATTCGATATGCATATTGGTAAGTCGAGCAGTATTCATAATCATGCAAAAAGGAAATGTGAAGATTTATTAAAACAAAAAACAGTCAATTCAAACTTCATTTGATAGGCAATCCAGTCAAACCAAGCTCGAATACACAATTCGCTTAAAGGCTTCAATTGAGGTTGTGAGGCTCCTATTAAATCAAGGAATGACATTCTGTGGACATCGTGAAGATGAATCATCATTAAACAAGGGTAACGTTCTTGAGATTCTTTCATGGTATGCAGAGAAGTGCGATAAAATCCGTGATCTTGTGTTGAAAAAGGCTCCAAAGAATGATCAGTTGACCTCTCATAAAATTCAAAAAAATATTATCATTGCATGTAAAATTGAAACACTTAAAGCAATTATGGACGATCTAAATGGAGACCTTTTTGCATTGCTAATTGATGAATCATGTGATGTATCACACAAATAGCAATTAGCTATTGTCTTGTGATATGTTAATAGATGTGGATCTGTGGTGGAGCATTTTACTAGGATCGTTCATGTTCGTAATACTAGTGCTTTATGTTTAAAGAAAGCAATTGTTGATTACCTTGCTCAACATTCTTTAAGTTTATCTTATGTGTGTGGACAATGTTATGATGGAGCAAGCAACATGCAAGAGGATTTACACGGCCTCAAAACTTTGATTCAATAAGAAAGTAAATCCGTTTATTCCATTCATTATTTTGCACACCAACTTCCATTGACTCTTATTGGCGGTATCTAAAAAGTGTCTTGAAGTGGGAGAACTTGTATTGTTCGTTTCTAATGTATTGAATATAGTGGGAGGCTCTTTTAAACATATGGATGATCTTCGAGAATCTCAAGCAGAAAAAGTTCAAGAGGCATTAGACATGGGTGAACTTGAAACTGGTAGGGGTTTGAATCAAGAACTTGGTCTTGCCAGAGTTGTCGATACTCGTTGGAGTTCACACTACAAATCTTTTAAGAACTTTATTTCTATGTTTGGCTCAATTATTGATGTTCTTGATACTATCATTGTTGATGCCCGGAATTTAGAAGAAAGAGCTAAGGCAAAGGGATATCTTAGCACTTGTCAAACATTTGAGGTTACTTTCATGTTGCACCTAATGAGAGATGTTTTGGAGATCACAAATGAGCTTAATACGTCCTTACAAAAAAAAAGGAGCAAGATATTGCAAATGCTATTCTACTTGTTTAAGTGAAAAAGAAACAGTTGCAAAATCTAAGAGAAGAAAAATGGGATTCACTTATTGATAAGGTGTCTACATTTTGTGTCAAGTATAATATTTTGATACCAAACTTTGATGACTTCTATGTTTACTCTGGAAGATCTCGACGTAAAGTTGTTGATTATACTGTTTTACATCACTATCGTGTTGATATATTTTTTAAGATTATTGATTGGCAAGTTCAAGAACTCAATGCTCGTTTTAATGAGGTGACAACGAACTTGCTTGTTGGAGTAGCTTGCTTAAATCCAGTTGATTCATTTTCCAGTTTTGACATAAATAAAATATTGATGATGGCTGAATTGTATCCTGGCGATTTTGATGAGAATATAATGGTTACGCTCAAGAATTAACTTGAAACTTATATTGTTGATGTTCGTGATGTTGATGAAAGGTTCTCCAAATCTACAAGGACTTGTTGATATTTCTGACACACTAGTTAAAACAAAGAAGTATTTGAATTATCCATTTTGTTTCACCTTGTGAAATTTGCTTTGCTTCTACCAGTTGCCACTGCTATAGTTGAAAGAACTTTCTCGGCGATGAAGTTGATCAAGAGTGAATTGCGGAACTGAATGAATGACGAATTCATGAGCTGTTATTTGGTACCTTATGTAGAAAGAAAAATATTTAACACCATTTTTGATGAGACTATTATGAATACGCTTCAAGAAATGAGAACTCGTAGAGAACATTTCTAATAATATATTTTATTCATATATAGTTTTTGTTGACCTCTTTGTATATTTATTTCTTTGCATTTTGAACCCGCTTGATAAAAATTTTGGGTCTGCCACTGGTCCTAACCGACCTTCTATCTAAAATTAAATATACACCATTGTTACAAGTACATGAGAAAATTTTGTGCACTTTTCTCAAAGTATTTTGGCACATTAATCTGTTCGCGATAGTTTTCGTTAAAGACAAGGACAAGTACTAGAAAATTTACTAATGACCAACTATAATATTCTAAGGGATTGTTAATTATGGGATAAACAAAAATATCCTATGGGCTGATATCCCATGAGATTAACTATCCCCGAATAGGTAAACTATCGTTTCAATATAAAATTATATTGGCATTAGTTAATAGCACAATCAAACATGGGAATAAATACAATCCAAATTTTATTCCGATATTAATATCCTTATCCCGGTAATTACACGACCCCTAAAGTAAAGGATAATATTAAGATATTTCATGCAAGAATGATATTGCTAACATAACATATAGATATATTGGTATTTTATAACATTGTCAAAGTCACTTTTTTCCTTCTCTTTTTCGTCCCCCCCCCCCCCCCCCCCCACACACACACACACCAAAAAAAACCCATTTTAGATCAATGAGCACCAAGTAATAGTGATTTCTGAACTATTGAAAAGAAAAATAAGGAAACAAGCTAAGTTGATGAACTGGTTTATTCAACATTTTTATTGATAAGAGATTGTAGGTATTAGTTAAATTAGTCGAGGTGCACATGAAATAATTGTAACGACCCGACCGATCGTTTTGAACTTTTGCACTTTGCTCGCCAGTTCCCAGGCATGACTAGCCCCGTGTGATGTATTATGGCTTATGTAAATCATCAGTTTTGGTTTTCAGGGTAATCGGAATGAATTTGGAAGAACAATTCTCAGTTTGAAGCTTAAAATTTGAAAGGTTTGACCAAGTATTAACTTATTATTATATGATATCGAATTGTAATTTTTACGATTTGGTTAGCTTTGTTAGGTGATTTGGGACTTAGGAGCGTGATCGGAATGTATTTTGGAGATCCGTGGAAGGTTTAGGCTTGAATTGACGAAATTGAAAATTTGGCATTTTTCGGTTGGTAGTGAAAATTTTGATATTAGGGTCAGAATAAAATTTCGAAAATTGGAGTACGTCTGTTGTGCCATTTGTGATGTGTGTGTAAAATTTCAGGTCATTCGGACGAGGTTTGATAGACTTTTTGATCAAAAGCAGAATTTAGAAGTTTTGAAATTCTTAGGCTTGAATCCGAGGGTGATTTGATGTTTTGATGTTGTTTTTAGCGTTCCGAAGGTTGGAACAAGTTTGAATGAGGTTATGGGATGTGTTGGCATATTTGGTTGAGGTCCCGAGGTCCTCAGGTGTGTTTCAGGTGGTTAACATATCAATTTTTGAACTTTGGACTTGGCAGATTTGTTGGTGTTTTTTGTTGCAGAAAACTCTTCTTCGCGTTCGCGATAGGCCCTCGCGTTCGCTAAGGATTGTTGAGTGAGGTTGCAGGTCTGTTCTTCGCGTTCGTGATGCAGGTCCCGCGTTCGCGAAGGTTCAGGTGATCAAGTTACGCGTTCGTGACCAGGATATTGCGTTCGCGTAAGGTCGAGTTGTGTGGTCTTCGCGTTCGAGATAGGGCCTCGCGTTCGCTAAGGGTTGTTGAGTGAGGCTGCAGGTCTGTTCTTCGCGTTCGCGATGCAGGTCCCGTGTCCGCGAAGGTTCAGAAGATCAAGTTACGCGTTCGTGACCAGGATATCGCGTTCACGTAGGGTCGAGCTGTGTGGTCTTCGCGCTCGCAGGTGGGCCCTCGCGTTCGCGAAGGAGAGAATTTTGGTCAGAGAAGCTTTGTGCTTCGCGAACGCGAGGGTGCTGCCGCGTTCGCGATGAAGAAAATATCTGGGCAGTCAGATTATATTTTAAAAATCGAGGGTTTAAGTCCAATATCACAAAAAACCATTAGAGAGCTCGGGAGAAGGTGAAATTTGAGGATATTTTCAGTGGAATAATTGTGGTAAGTATTCTTCATTCATATTTGGTTTAATTCCATGATTTAGTCTTGAATTTCATCATTTAATTTGAGAAATTAAAGTGGAAATGGGGAAAAATGGAAGAAAAGTTTGAGAATTCTTTTGGGGATTTGAATGGGCAATTGAGGTCGTATTTTGATGAATTTGTTATGGGTAGACTCGTGAGAGAATAAGGATTCTAGTTTTGTGGTTTTTATCGAATTTTCGAGACGTGGGCCTGGGGGTCAGGTTTGGCCAAATTCGGGGCTCCTGGTGTAAATTGGTTATTTTCGAGTGGGCTTTGTTCCCTTGGAATATTTTGATGGTATGAACCTGTTTTTGGTTAGATTTGGAGCATTCGGAGGCCGAGTCGAGAGGTAAAAGCATCGCGGGCTAGAGTTTGGACCGGATTGAGGTCAGTAATGATTGTAAATGTTTGTCCGGAGGGTATGAAACCCCAGATTTTACATCATTGTGCTGCTTTGAGGTGACGCGCACGCTAGATGACGAGCGTGGGGTCATGCACCGTTGGGGATTGTGACTTAGTCCGTCCCGTATGACTGTTAAACTGCATATTTGATTGAAAGCCATTCGATATTATTGTGTTTTGGAAAGTATTATCATGTTTTGGGCTGAATGCCATATTTGGGCCTCGTGCCAACTGTTTTGGACCCTTAAGGGATTTTTACTACTATTCCTCACTGTTTTGACTTCATATTTGTACTCAATCATGTTGTATACTACTGTTTTCATAACTCAACCGTATTTACTCTGTTTTGACATTTTAAATGATATTTTGGGTTGAGCATCATGTTTTACTGTGCCCGAGTGGCTTGAGAGATTTCTGACTAAGTGAGGTCGAGGGCCTGTGTTGTGAGGATATTATGAGATCGGGATGCGCGCCGCAGCAGTGTGTACTGATTCATGATTTTGAGGCCGAGGGCCTGATTTGTTACGCCATGAGGTGGCTTATTATGAGGCCGAGGGCCTGTTTGATTATGCCACGAGATGACTTGTTATTGCGCTTGGACGAGCCCCTCTAGGAGTCTGTACACCCCCATTGAGCGCGGGTACCCAGTGTGAGTGATATGATGTAGCCCGAGGGGTTGTTGTTGTTTCATATTGTTGTCCGAGGGGATGTTCTTGATCCATGTTTTGCCCGAGGGGCAGTTCTTGATTCATGGTATGCCCGAGGGGCTTATTGCGAGTGATTGTGAGGTAGCCCGAGGGGCTTTCTGTTGATATTATGCCCGAGGGCGGTTTATGGTACATGTTTTGCCCGAGGGGCTGTTTACGTTCTATCATTTTTACTCATTGTTTTAATCACTCGTTTGAAACTATTAAAAGTTGTTTTAAAAGGTTTTTTTTACTGAAACTGAGCTTGATTTATGAAGTAAATGATTTCTGTACTGTTTTGGAGATGTACTGCATTTGCTGTAGCGTTATGACGTGGTTTACGTGTTTTCTTACTGCTCAGCTTTCATTTACTTTTATTTCTTACTGAGTTGGTGTATTCACATTACTTCCTGCACCTTGTATGCAGATTCAGGTATTTTTGAATCCGGTAGCAGGTGTTGATTGCTCAGTGGCAGAATCATCGGAGTTAGCAAGGTAGTTGGCGACGTTCGCAGCCTTGCTCTTCTCCCTCTTATCTTCCTTAGATTGTTTTTAGTATATTTTTAGACTCTTCGTTGTATTCAGACCTTAGTATCTGCTTGTGACACCATGATGTCGGGCTTGTGTATTTATTCTGCACTGTTTATTTAGACTTACATTATGAGATATTTGATTAATTAAAGGCTTAAAAATGACTGTTATTGATTAAATAGTTAATTCGGGAGTTGTGTTGGCTGGTCTAGTTTCACGATAGGCGTCATCACCACCATATCGGTTTTGGGATCGTGACAATAATCCGAACAACGCTATTGCAAAAAAAAAAAAAAAAAAAAAAAAAAAAAAAAAAAAAAAAAAAAAAAAAAAAAAAAAGAGACAGCAAGTTAGAAATGGACCGGGAGAAGCTTGCTAGTGAAGAGATTACAACTGTGACCACTTCACTTTTTGTCTCTCGTCTTTGGAAATTAAATCATGTTCGGAATACGCTTCTGATTCTTTGTAACATAGTAATAATAATTAAAATATTATCAAAACAATATCTTTTCCTCAAAAGCTTCACTAGCGAATCCTTAGCAAAAAAGTGAGAAAGTAGATTTTCACCATTATAAATTCATAAAAAGTTTATAAAGAATACTGAAAAGTGATATCAAAGCTTTTCATCGTGCTAGAAACCAATAGGGAGTTCGGAACCAAAATGTTGTTCTTTTGGACAAGCAACATCTTAATAGGTGTAAAAAAAAAGATGACATTTTTATATATAGCGCCCAAATACTGGGCGCTATACATTAACGTTAACTGTGTCGTTAATGTATAGCGCTCAGTATTTGGACGCTATATATAAAAAGCTGACACTAACAGGTATAGCGCCCAAAAACCCGGCGCTATACATATTTTTTAAAAATCGAGTCGTCTTCCTCAAGACGACGATTCTGCTTCTTCTTCCTCAATATTTTACATATTCTTCTTCTTGGTGCCCCACTCTCATACT